TTTGAAAGGTGAAGTTTGGAAGTTTTTTTAATGGGGAAAACTGGGAATTTTAAAAATTGGTAAAACCTACAGTGGAAACCCCCCTATTGCGCCCTTTTTTTTTCCCCGCGGCAAGCCCCCCCTTTGCCCTTTTTTAAACCCCTTTAAACCGCCCCCCCCCCCCCCCCCCTCTACAACAACAAAATAACCTCTCCACAATGGCCAGTTTTTTCAGCGACTGATGAAAAAGTAAAGAATAGTCACGAAATTTGATCCGTATGGCTAGTTGATGATTAATCGCGGCAAGTTTTTCAAATCATTTAAGTAAGATTAAATTCAAATACAGTACTTTTTTAAAAAATGAAGTCCTTTTTTTGAACAGAACCTTTTTTTTTTAGAACATACTTAGAACGCGCGAGAAAGTCACCTTCCACCCCTACCCTACCTCCCCATAATGACTACTTTCTTCTGTTCCCAAGGTGGCCGATGTGAAAGGGTTCACATGTATGTTGTAAGCGATCATGAGATAAACTTTTTGAGAGCAGTTGTTAAGGAGAGCTTGTAGTAGAAGGCTTGGCATATCTTGTTAATTACCAGTACGCTCAGGTGAAATAATTTTAATTAGGGCCTTTTTTTATTACTTTGTACACTAAGTGTTAGCAAACCATCAATGCTTATTTTATGAAACCCTAAATTTGTTCAAGGAGTAAGTCCTATTCAAAAGTTGACTGAGTGGTTGCTTTTTTAAGAACGTAAAAATAAAGAAAACGACCAACTGGTTAGTCAGAAAAGAGGTCAAGGTAGCTTACGGGAGTTTTCGCTTAAGAGAGCTTTTCAGTACAGAACTTTTAAAAGTCACAGTTCAAATGTGGTTTCACAACGCTGGTAACAACTAGAGCTGCTTGCTAAGAGGAGTTGTCACAAGGAGAGCTTTGTCTTTATTACGTTTCTTGAACAGTGTGTTTTCCTGGACTGGAAGCCTTGATCTGGGTGTGAATGGTGAGTGGTGTGCAGTCTACATTACATAACATCATTTTTTAATTTAATGTGAAGAAATACTTTACTCTTCAGGTGAAATGAAGTGAATCAGTGTCATGAAAAAATGGTCTCTATTCTTAGGTATGGTTTTTTGTCTTACTGTAAACAGGGTCGGGGTTTGAAGACCTCCGTAGGGAACCTCTACCCAAAAAGTAGTGAGGGGACACTTGAAGTGCCATTCTAGCCCTCTCCTCCCCCACCACCACCACTGGAGCCTCACCTCCTTGGAAAGGAGCTCTTTCTGCTGATTTTTCACAAGGGGATGGGTGCCTGTTATGAGTAATAACTGACCGTCTTAGCAGTACACAATATTTTTCAAGAGATGAAAGAGAAAATTGACAAAACTGTCAAGAGATACTAGCTTTAGATAACAACTCAAAGATATCTTCCAGTCCCAAGTCTGTAGCAAGGTTCATTGGTGTTACAGTGGCAGGGATTCCCATCTTAACAGATGTGTCACATCCAGCT